TCTGAACGCGATTACAGTTTCATTCAATGGGGATAAATTACTTATCAACCGCGAATAATAGCCGTCGTTGCCTATTATTATTCGCTCAACGTTCCGACAGCGGAACATTTTCGTCCGCATGATACGCGATGTTTCCCGTCGAGAGTCGAGCCGGACCTTTTCATTCACCTGATATTTCGAAGTACTCGCTCCCAGCAACTCCTATCATTGCGCGTTTCATCCATTGTCGCACGTTTTGATACTCTTAAACTTTGGGCGGAATCAACGACGGGAATCCGACGGAAAGTCCGCGTTTCCCTAAGCGCTTCGATCGCCACCGTGTCGTCAACCCTCAAGTTGAATCTCAGCTCGCCGCTTCTAAACTTCGTATACGCGTGCGAGATTAAATTGAGTAACTTTATTCCGTAAAGTTACGCGGCTATTAAAAAATTTGGCGAACGAAACTTTGGAAGTTTAATACTATTTGCACTCTTGAAACTTTAAGGGAACTATCACACCACACACACACACACACACACACACCTTCAGAGGTTTAATACGTTAAATTTTTTAATTTTCAGGACAGTGTATAACGTAGAATTAAACTCACTTCTAAATGTTCTTTCGACGTTTGCTTTAAGCGTTCGCTCACCGGAAATCAATCGAGAACTCGAGTCGAAAAATAAAACGTTCTTTCAGCAGCGCGTGGACTTTAAATCAGATCGACATCAATCGTCAAAACAACAAAAGACGCATTTTAACAGTAGACATAACCTGTCGCTTTCTCAGAGCGGTCGACCTCTCTCTTTCTCTCTCCTTTTCTTCTTAATTTATCGTCTCTTAATTATTATACTTCACGAAATGCTACTGTGGACGGTGGCGCGAGCGGTGCATGCGTACGAGCCTGGAGGAAGGAACGTAGGTTGCGTAATTTAAATAATTCAGGAATGACCCTGACCCCGGTTAGGCCACGGGGTGACCTGCAGCCGGCGATTACAATCACAATGCACCGCCGGGTTCTCAGGGTAAGACAGGTAGCACCGTCTGACCCGCATACATTAAATCGAAATCATCGGATCTGTGTTTGTGTACACATGTGTGTGTATATATATATATATATATATATATATATAACGATATAATATATGTACGTGTATGTATATAGGAGAAAAAAATATCTTGTCGTAAAGAGAGAAAACGCGTTGTCTAATTGTCGTTCGAAAAATGTTTACAGACGTAACTTTACGCTCTTGTCATGCCGACCGTATTCTCACCGGTATCCCTCTTCGCGCTACTTTCGCATGAACTTCTTGAACAACTTCTTGAACAACTGATCGAAGGATCGCAGGAATCTTTTTGGGAAATTGCATATTTTTCATGCCGGTGACACAGCGATAAGTCGCATCGTCTGTTCTCTTTCGCACGACATTTCGCTGTCGTATCGGTGGTGACGAAAGCTGGCCGGCTTATCCGTTACAGACGGTTTCGTTATTACGGTGCATGCGGCGGCCGGAGAAGTCTCGTATGTTTAACCGGCGCGCGCATTTAAACGGTGCCCGATTCGCAACATTAACATAACGGTAAGCAATTCCAGATGCTGCGGCCCGACTGCGCGCGACTCCACGTTCAAGGGTACGCGCACCTTGCCGGAGATCCCACGGTTAGGCCGTTCGACCTTGAAATCGGCGATTTCGAGTGCGGAGGATAACTCTGATGTTTTTCAAATGATATGCAAGATGCATGCAGACGCGCGGAGCTACATGAGAAATTGCGGACGGCCCGGGCCGCCAGGTCGGAGTCTTTTCGTCAATTGGAGATATGCAAAGCGGAACTTCGCTATTATGCAGAAATGGTTTACACTGTTGCGCATGCAGAACGATCGTGCAGCCCGCATTTCGAGAGATCCGAGCGCAAATGACGACGAATGTTAAGAAAATAAAAGGGAAATACCGCAGAATACGCGCGAGAAAGTCGTTCGTGAACGTTTGTATTCTCGACTGCTCTCATCACTACTACATTTAAAGACGCATTTTACCCATTAGTGCCGTATTTTCAGTGGCGCAATTCAAGGGGCCGCTCATAAATTTAGTATTTATCAAGCGAAATTACGTTCTTATACATTTACTTCACTACACGGGGAAAAATCTGATTGCATTAACCAGAAAGGGAATAACCAGATGCGTACTGGGTGAAGAAAACAGAATTTCTGATTCTTACGACCCAAATGTAGTTCTAACCAGAAAAAATATAGGTAATAAGAAATTCTGTTCGCGAATTATTTTCCAAAGTGTCACACGTGTTTTTCCGTTATACTTTCTATTTTTTTCCTCAACGATTTAAACATTTAATAAACATATCCGCGGTGCACCAGACGTAATCAAAATCCGCGGTATTCTAATTTATTAATGCATTCAAATGACATACTGTTGTTACTCAAAACGGCCGGTCAATGGCGGGGCAATTAACATTTCCATTTCAGCGGCGAAATTTGTTATACATTCAACGCGTGATGTTAGTTACCATAATCCGGTAATTAAGTAAATACGGCTACAATCGCGATTAGCTATTCGCCGAGTTTACCCGATTCGGCGATTACAATATTACGGCTTTGGCAAACCAAACCTCGTGCCTCGTTTGCGGCAGCTATTTCGCGAGGACGCGCTTTCCCGCGGGTTAATAATTAACGGTTATTCTCTCTCTCTCCCTCCCTCTCCCTCTCTTTCTTTCTTCTTCACTTCGAATTTCCGGGAAAGGCGGCGACGGGAGAACGGGCAGTTTATATATTATTCAAGTAGCGAGAGGCGCACGACGACGGTGCGTGCGTATCGGTATGCGCGAATCGAGCCGGCGGTGACTCCTACGCGGAATTTAAAGCAGAAACTACGCGGTCTAAAACGCGCCCGTGTTCTCCCTATGCACCGTTCGGCAATGGCGAAAGAATTCGCGCGTGCCTGCAGTGTTAACCCGTTAGCCGAGTATAAATCTATATTTATCTGCTATCAACACACAGTCCCGATCTCGCCCCGCGCATTATTTACGAGCGATCCGGAATTGTAAAGCGAGAGAAGACCCCGAGAATATACTCTACCGATCGATGACTGGCTCCTCCCCCCCTTTGCCCCGTTCCATCACGCTTAACGAATATTGCCGCTGAGAATATCCGACGGCGACTCGTTTCGATAACGCATCCGTTGATGAAATAATTCCAAGCGGATTCGAGCGAGCGGCTCCGACGCAAAACGTGTGCGCCTGCGGTGACGCGAAAAACTATCTCGAGCCAACCGCGACCGCGCGATTTTCACTCTTTCGTAGCAGCGGCAGCAGTTCGTCGTTCGGAACGTGTCGCCGCGCGTCGCTCTGGACCTTTCATTAATCTCGAGACGTCATTTCGCCGGAGCAACGCGCCGAGCCGACATACGCGTAGCCCTATATAATGCGGCCGCGCGATCGAGATTCATCGGCGGACGGTGCGGCGGCAGCGGAGAGAGGAAGGGGGCAGAATTGGCGTTTTCGATGCTCGGGACTAAACGGCCGAAGGGTTGTAAGCTGGTATGCAGATGAGCCGACATGGTCGACCCCGGAGGCGGATGTTGGCAGTCTGCAGCTACGTAGACAATAGGCCAGTGCCATTATGTCCGTCGAATCCTAAAACCCCATAGAGTCGTTCTTCTCTGTCTATTATCCCGCTGGTGGCAGGCCACATTGTGTATCCGGCCCGGCCGCGGCTATTGTCGGTCCACCTAATTATTCGCAAATCTTCCGCTCGTTGCCGGTAGCGCCCACCCATCCTCCTCCTCCCTCTCTCCGCCGGCACGCGAAATTCCGCCGTGCCTGAAGCCGCCCGTCGATTCGGCTCGCGATCTACCCGATCTCTTGCCTCTCCTCTCATCCTCGATCGGACCTCCGCGATATTCGACGTCTGTTCCGTGACGCTTCCGTCGACTCGAATTCGATATGACTGCGATCGCAAACCGAGAGGCTTGACATTCGACAACGGTCTCGCGTATAATTTCTTATTATAGTACGGAGAAAGAGAGAGAAGGTCGGGATATTTCAAATATTTAAACAAGCGAAAAAATTAGACGGAACTGGCCGCGCACTGAGAAAAAATCAGCTCAAAAATTAATTTATGGGATATACGGCTTATTTCACAGAAATCAAATTTTGGATTAAGAAAAATATTTGAGCTGCAATAAATCTTTTATTGCGCAACTAAAAAATTTTTCTTAAACTAAAATTTTATTTCCGCGAAATAAATCTTATATCCTGCAAATAAATGTTTAAGTAATTATTTTTTCAACGTGCAATTCTGATTTAGATGGGACACTTTTTCCAAACGATAGATCCGCTTAACCACGCAGAAGTTTAATCGGAATCATTACGGTTGGTTTGATACAAAACAATATATGTCGTTTCTGTGCTCGCTCTTCCGAGCCTGCTGATATGATAACACGTTAGTCATTCTTCATAATTTTGAAGGAGTACAGTCACGAAAGTCCACACCGGGTATAATTTCCTCAAATTATCCCGGTCTCGCGAATGACGTCATCCTTTGTGAGTGAGTCAAAACTGATAAAGAGGTTTAATTAGCTGTCTGGGACAATGTGCGAAAATGTCAGAGTGAAAATTTGGATTCTACATTAATCATGCACAAATTCCGTCTAATTTGAAAGATAAACAAAGAATTTTTAACAATGCCACTGATCAACTGTGCTACGATAAAGTTATAATTTCACTTTTTGTAACTTTTAAAAATGTAGAGTTGACCGTGTCTCATTTTATGAAGCATTCATTAGTGGCCTAATATTGTAGTTATGTTGAGTCTCAGGCATATTCGACTGATGTTCACGAATTACTTTGTAATCATCAGACATTTGCAACAGCCTAATAGTTCAGGAATTGTGAGTTCCGCTCTCGTAAACGCTCCACCGGATGCTTTCAATCGTATCCGAAAAACGCGCCGTGACGCTTCACCAATGACGATCGTACCGTTTATATAGCTTCAAAATTGAGAGACTCACCTCAGGATCGTTCGATTCCGGTCGCTTGTACGTAAATAGGGGAGCCAGTTTCTCGTAGAGGTCCACGCGTTCGTGAAGATTCTTGAACGGGTTTTTGGTGCTGAAGAAGTCGAGGTCGATGTCTAAGATGTACGGAGTGTCCTTTTCAGGAATGTATTTATGCAATGTTGAACAGATGGTGCTGAAGTCGTCCTTCTGTAACACAAATATCAAAATTCGGGAGAATCGCGAGAAATTTCCATGCGGTCAACTATATAGAAATCCATCATCCCATTTCGCAACGATCCAATTCTATCATTACTTTATTTTTATTTTATTATTATTTTATAAAAAATGGCTTTCTTCGTGGAATGTACGGCAGCTTCGGCGCGTCTCTTTCCTTCGACTCACATTTACACGTGTTACACGCATTCGTCGCGTGCTAAACGACGACCCCTTCGAGGGCGCCGTGTGCGCGCACACCCGCATTTTTCGTTCCCCGGTAGTCGCGCTATTTTCGGCCATTTGTTACCGAAAGCGAAGCTGGTTCGCTGGCAGCTAACCGCGTGTGCGCGCATGATGTAACACGGCCATTCAGTTTCTACGAATTAGCGACGCTGTATTACTCAATCCTTTTTTTTTTCACGCTGCCGGGCCGCGCACTGACAACGCGCTCTGACGAAACGTTGACGATAATTACCAATAAAATGATCGATTGCCGACGTTATATCGAGCCCACGGCCCATTCGGTCCAATTTCTAAACGGGGAGTCGACCGTCGCGGGCAGGCGGCCCGGGGTCGAGAAGGGACGCGCAACCATTCGTATGAACCGGATATTGTTCGTAGCGGGGGCAAAACGCGATGCTGCCCGCGCGTATAGAGGGGTTTTTTGTGACGCGCAAAAAACAATGACTGCACTCGAATTAATTCTGTTAGAATTGATACTCGGCCCCGGCACCGGGATCGCAATTTGCATGCGTTCACAACAATGAAATACAACGGCGCGCGTTCGTTCGCTCGCTCGCTCGCGCGGGGTGAGCTGTGTAATACTATCATGAGGAGAGGAGAGGAGCGGAGGAAGAGGGGGATGGAAACGGGAGGAGGGGAAAAAGCAAAGCCAACAATCACCGTGCCCAGCGGTTCTCAAAGCTTACTATAACGAGTTTGGACGAGCGCGCGACTTTCAGGCAAGGAATGTGGCCCCCCCCCCTTCCCCTCTGGGAAACTGAAATCGCGCAAAATGCGTCCGGTGCAAAAAAGAGTTACGACCGCGAAAGGACGAGGTGTCGGAACGGTTGGGATTTGCGCGGCGAGTCGGCGATTCTGAACGAACGGTGTACGCGACAGTTCGTTCTTTCCAATTTTATTCGTTTTTTCAAAATTCCGGCGATATCCTGTCTTTTCAAAGAGGGGGATAAAAATGCAGGTCGGAAGGGATCGGTGGGAATAATTGTGCGACAACAATTTATTCCGCGCGGCTCTCAAATACCGTCGATTTTACGGATGTTGAATTAAACAGCGCTTTTCCATCGTAATCGCGCATTTTGTCCGTGTTTTTCCACCCCCTCCCGGGGAAAAATCAATTGCGCCGCCGTCGGCGATTTGTTAATACGCGGCATATGCTGCTAAACGGCACCTTTTTTCCCCGTCGCGAGATACGCGCGATCGAGTGCGCGAATAATTACGCGGCTCGAGTGCAGCTGCGGAATTTTGCAGAAATGGAGCGATGAGTTTTTTCCGCTCTCAATCTGTCTCGGGCTGATAAGAGCGCGCGTTTTGCGCAACCTTCGCACCGCGCGCTCCACAGATGTTCATCTTGCGCGTCTCGTGTCTGATTTAACGCGACCGCGCGATCTCTGAACCAGATCGGAGCGCGAATCTACAATCCAGCCGGCGATGATGTCAACGAAAGCAACGCTCTTAAACAGCTCCTCTCGATTGGAATCGCTTTCGCGAGGGGATATTTTCTTCCGTTCTCTTTTCCTCGAATTTACCGAGTCTCGGCGTATTCGCGCTCTCGTCGTACAATGTTTCAATCATTGGAGTTCTCCTTTTCAAGCACGTCGATACTGTATCCAAGCGAGATTACATCGTGCGCGGTTGTCGGATTAATTTTTTATACTCCACAAAGTGTAAAGTAGTATGTTTACTATTTGCTATTTAACGGTATAATTATTAGTCAACATAATTATTATTAAAAATGTTATTTAATGGCATAAACATACTGCATTGGTAAATTAGTAAATTTATAGCATTTTAATATATTAAATACAGCCCGCCTAATAAGAGAATGATCGGGCAAACTTCCGTTTGAAAATCGTTACATCAGAAATGTTTGAACGAGCAGGTAGGTTTCTTCCCCTACGACGCGTTACACAGAGGATCCCAGTTATTGTCCGACGTTCGCTAAAGAACGATGTATTTAAGGATTAGTAATTTTCATTTTTTTTACAGTGGTTTATGATTGTTAAAAGTTATGTCGGTTACGCTTTTATTAGATAGAGTGCATATAATTACCTCTCAATAGAATAATGTAATTCCTTTTTGCATAATTACTTTTAATACAATTATTTTAATTTTTTTCAACGTAATTACTTTGTGTTTAATATAATTATTTTAATAGTAAAATATATATGATACGCATTGCGTGAATTAATTTTGTGGAGTGCAGTCGCGGAGGTCGTAGGTGTCTCGTTCTAGCGAGGAACGTCCCCACAATAATCGCGATATTTCTGCAAGTGTCACGTAATCGCTCGTTTAGAATATCGCGAGCGGAATATGCGGGACACGTGGCAAAACATATAACCGCAGGAAATTACCTGCGATTTGCTCGGGCAACTTTTTAATTGTATCGACGTATTCCTTATCGCGCGAGTTTGCACAGGAAGGAGGTACCACGTGAGTGCGCTGTGCGAGTACAAAGACACGCAATATTTGTACGCCGGATGATTCACAAGGAAATTCTCGTCGGACGTTTTTTCTTTTTTTTTTTTTTTTGCAAATTAACCGGCAAACCGCGTCGGGTGCGAGCAAAGGAAAAGTCGACGGATCGCCGCGGGCTGCGATCGCGGAACGGTGGTGATAATCATCGAGGGAATTTCTGCCTGCGTCATATTGTTTTCGTGTAATTCTCCAATAGTTTTTCCTCCTTATATTCCAACCAAAATGCCCGGCAGGCAGGCATTAACATTTCAAACTTCCCTCGCATAGGTTCTCCGTTACACACGACACGCACGGCGTGCGAATAAATTGCGCGCGCGCGCGCGCGAGTGCGCGTTAAGAACTTTCCACTCGATGCACTCGGCAATTAATATTTTCAATCAAAACGTTATTACGCTTACAGTGCGTGCATTTCACTCGCGATAGTTACTCGCGCCTGACTACGAAGATGAATAATACACGTACACGAGTATTTTCCGCGTCAAAATATTTTTTCTTCTCTTTTTTTTTCTGCGGTTATCCGCGGATCTACGGATCCGTAACCCGTGACGTCGTTGATTTATCGTTTCTATCTGCGTGTAGCATATTTTTTTCCCTTTTTGGGTGTTATTCCGATATATATTGAAAGAAACACGACGGGGTGTGTGAGTGCTTCGTGTATCGCTCGCACAACTGTCGGTTATAATATTGGAAAGGCAGTATAAAGCGAAATGTCATTGTCGGCTAAATTTAAATCGCTCGAGCGCGAAAGTCGGACGTTGCACCCGACACAAATGCAATAACGCGATAATACGCCGACTTCGATTTCGGCACGTATTTTCGGCCCTGCAATGCGCCGAAATTAGCACGTGATCGCGCGCGATACCGCTCCATTTCCATATGTACATGAGTCTTATCCGTATGTACGATGTTTTGCGAAGCGATTCGTTTGCTTTCTTCCGGCAAACGCGGAAAGAAAGAATTAGCTGCCACAGGCAAGAATTTATTGTCCGTATAATACAACCGGAACTTAGTTAATTCGGCTAATTCTTTCGTTCCTGCACCTAGTTTTTTGGCTCCCACAGCTAAAAACTAAGTCTGGTAACTAAATATTAGTTGTATTACATGGATAACTAATTCCTTCTTTCCGACGAGATTCTTGCGCGTCTAATTTTCTAGAACTTTGCGCATCAATTCTACATGTTATCGCCGACATCGCGATATTAATGTAATACGAACGCAGCTCTCGTGAAAACACTGTTTACAACGTCGAGCAAAACATCGATTGCATTAATTTCTTGGTATGCTGAGACATTGATCTTATTTTTCTCGCTTTAAACTTTTCAAATGTTTCGCAACTGATATATTATTCGTAAGATGACTTGCGTGAAGTCGTGTTTTTTCCTTACGTCATACATTGTAATAGTTTATCCGCATTAGTAGTAGATATGATTAATAAGATATACTGATGTGCGTCTTAGTTTAATAGATAGCGATAATAATAGTTTGATAGATTATCGCGGAGTTCGTTTCTGTCGAAGACGAGTGTAAATCAAGTATAGATCAACATATAAATCTACTTGTTAGTGCCGGTTAACAGAAGCGGAGTTTCCGGAATATTTGACCAATACTATCGAGCATGAACGATGACGGGAAAGAACTAATTTATCTTGACGTATATCGCAGTGCAAAAAGTCTCGTCGGATAATTGCTCGTTTCCGGCATTTCAATTTAATACAACCGTAATCTGTGTGATCGGAAAATGGTTCGCTGAATGAGTTCGCTTTAGACTTATATTTTAGAAAATTTTATAGGACATCTTATTCCGCAGATTTTACACGTTAGATATTTTCATAGACTTCACCGAATGAACACAAAGCTTTATCTTTGTACTTCCTACTTTGTATTTTTATCTTTGTGTGTTCTTTTCCTTTACCTTTCGTATTCCGATATTTGCAGCTCCGCAATTAGAAGCGCGCTTCGAAATCATTCCCGCGCTTTCCCCGGCGCGGTGCGAGTTTCGTTAACAAGCATTTAGCTCAACACGCGTTTCGAAGAGCAGTTAGTAGCGGGGCCGGATTTATACGGATGAACATATAGCCGAACACAACGGCAAACGAGTTTCGCGAGGAGCACGTGGCCGTTTCGCGTCCCTCCACGTGCGTGCGCGCGCCATGCGGCAGATCGTCGGTCACACTACCGTTCGCGGTCGCAATTAAGGCGAGTGGTGCCATATGCAAATGCCGGCCCATTGTCTTGACCCAAAATGGCACGAACTCGACCAGCTCATTGTGCAT